ACCGAGCGGGTGAGGTTCGTACACAGGTACATCTACAACCGGGAGCAGCAAGTGCACTTCGACAGCGATGTGGGGATCTTTGTGGGTGACACTCCATTTGGAGAGTACCAGGCCAGGAACTGGAACAGCCAACAGGAAAGGCTGGAGTACTATCGATCTCTGGTGGACAGGGTCTGCCTGCCCAGCTACGAGGGGTACGGCCCGTTCAGCGTGGAGAGGAGAGGTGAGCGTGGGGCAGAGCGGGTCCCCTCGGCCCCTGCCCCGGGAATGACCATGGAGCCCCTCAAACCCTCCCTGGGAATCACCCCAGGCCCCTCAGCCTTCCCGTGGCCTTTTGCCCCCTCCGAGTCCATCCCAGTTAATCCCAGTCTTTCCAGTGTCCCTCAGTCCATCCCAGTCCATCCCAGTCTCTCCCAATTCCCCCCCGCGTCTCCACCCCGCTGGGGCCACAAAGCTCACGCCCCTCAGCCAATCCCAGCGCGTCTCTCTGATGACGCTCCAGTTGCCAGGCAGACCCAAAGCAAAGAGTTCCCTCCCCACGACTCAGCCTCCCAGTCCAGATCGCTTCCTTCCCAGTCCACACCAGTCATTCCCAGTCCTTTCCAGTCATTCCCAGTCATTCCTAGTCCCCATCACTCCACTCCCAGACCCTCTCACTCCATTCCCAGTCGTTCTCACTTCACTCCCACATCTCCCAACTCTCTCCCCAGTGCCCCCTCAGCCCATGCCCTTCTCCTCCAGTCTATTCCCAGTCCCTCCCACTGCCATCCCAATCCCTCCCAATGTCCTACAAGCCCTCTGCCCTCCCTCCCAGTGCCCCCCAGATGATCCCAGTGTCTCCCCTGTCCCTACCAGTGCCCCCCAGTGTGTCCATCTCGCTGGTGCCATCGAGCTCCCAGCCCGGCCCCGGCCGCCTGCTCTGCTCCGGGATGGATTTCTACCCTGCGCCGGTGCAGGTGAGGTGGTTCCAGGATGGGCAGGAGCTGCCGGAGCACGTGGTGGCCACCGACGTGGTCCCCAATGGGGACTGGACCTACCAGGTGCTGGTGCTGCTGGAAATCCCCCCCCGGCGCGGGGTCACCTACAGCTGCCAGGTGGAGCACGTCAGCCTGGAGCACCCCCTCAGCCGGCACTGG